GCATGATCCGAAAGAAATGAAAATAATATATTCACACAAAGACATGTAGGAAAATTCATAGCAGCTTTATTCACAAGAACCACCAATTGAGAAGCAAACCAAATAACCATCAATAAAAGAATGGATAAACAATTGTGGTATATCCATACAATGGATTAAAATGGAATACAAAGGAATGAGCTGTGGATACACCTGGATCAATCTCAAAATCATACCGAGTGAAAGAAGCTAGAAACAAAAGGATATATATTGTATCTATATATTGTATCATTACTATATGTGTAACATTTGAGAAAATGCAAACTAATGCGTAATGATATAAAGTAGATTAGTAGTTGCCTGAAGCCAGGAATGAAGGGAGGGTTGGGCTGTAAAGAGGCTCAAGGTATGATTTGGGTATAATCAAAATGATTTGTACTTTGATTGTGGTGGTGGTTTCACTGGAATAGACATTTGTTAAAACAATGAATTGTGTACTTTAAATAGATACAGTTTATTGTGTGTTAATTGTGCCTCAGTAGAGTTACTTTTAAAAATGTGTACAGCGAAGGGCTCTTCATTGCCTTCAGGATGCAGGCCACATTTCTGAACAGTCTCATCCCAAATTTTTCTAGCCTTTTTTTCCTTCCGTTTCTTAATGCATGCTTTAAGAATGCATTAAGTTATTAATGCATTACTGCAGCTACTCCATACTGTTGACCATCCCTTATATGTCAAGCCCCTTATTTTGTTGCTTAAGTGAATAACTAAAGAACAATGACAATTAGCATTATTGTTGGAGAAGCTTACATGACTGGTTAAGCTTGGCAGTATTTGGTGAGCACTGTGGTATAGTTCTCCAGGCTAGAGACTTGGTTTTGATGATGTACCAAGAAGTTATCGTTCTCTCTAGTATACATTAATACAAATCAAAGCTGTTTAAGACTGTGTAAACTGGAACATCAGTTCATTCATTTATAATGGAAGCATTTGTGTTAAAAGGATGAGAACGCTTGTTTTGATGGATTAGCATAATGTTTCTGGGTTTGAAAGTAATAAGGCAACCTAAATTAGAATCTAAACGTTGCTCAGTGGTCATAGAATTGTATCATAGGAAGGTGGTCTGAATGTGACCAGATTTTTGGAGCCCAGATTCTGTGTTAGTTATTTTCTCTAACACATTCATATTTATTTCCATTATAGCACCAGGTGATTTATTTGGCTGTCTTCATGCAGCCTCAGTTTATCTTTGATTCTAGTAATCATCTTCTTTGATTCTTAGTTGACACTTCCACTGCTGTTATTTTGCTATTATTGTTAATTTTTAAACTTTTTTCTCCCAGGAGATATAGGTCATGGATCAGGGCCTGAGCTTACTAGCTTTATATTTTTTATGGAGTAGATTGACTCTGTTATATCTTTACCTTTTAAAGGTCTATTTTGCCTTTCTTTGAAGTTAGTAGTATGTTCTAAATGATTAAGGATTCAACTAAAGTCTTACTTAGCCTTAGTTTATTCAGGACTCACTATGTTGGAAAAGTTTGTTGCAACTGGACTGTAGAGTTGAGTGTTAAGGGTTATATATTAGTCATGGTTCTCTAGAGAAAGAGGGAACTGAGGATATATAAAGATGTAGAGAAAGAAATTTATTATGAGAGATTATCATCTGATTATGGAGGCTAAGAAGACCTATGATCTGCCATTTGCAAGCTGGGGACCCAGAATGCTGGTGACATGGTTTTAGTCCAAACCCAAAGGCCTAAGAACCAGGGCAGCCAATGGTATAAATTTCAGTGCAAGTTCTAAGGCCCAAGAACCAGAAGTGCCAATGTCTGAGAGCAGAAGAAAGTGGATATCCTAGCTCAAGCAGAGAGTAGATTCATTCTTCCTCTACCTTTTAGTTCTATTCAGGCCTTCTATGGATTGGATGATACCCACCTCAATGGTTAGGGTTATCTTCTTTACTTAGTTTACCAGTTCAAGTTATAAAAAATCTCTTCAAGTGATAATGAGCAAGAAGTTAATGCCCAGAAATGAAAGGGTTTTTTCTGTCAAGTTAGGCCTTTGTCCCATAGTAGTAATAGTAGTGGTGGTGGTGGTGGCAGTATTCAGTAGTAGTAGTAACAGAAGTAGTTATATAAGTAGTAGTAATAATGACGAAGATTATGATAATGACAGAAGAAAATACTGGGTGCTTACTAGGTGCTGGACACTGTTATCTGGATTATTTTACTCAGTCTTCATAGTAACCCTAGAAAATAGGAACTGTTATTATCCTCACTGTGAATAAGGAAACTGAAACAGGAAAATTATCTAACTTGTTCAAAGTCACAGAGCTAGTAGGTGTTAGGGCTGGTTTTTTAGTGGGTAGTAGTAGTCCGGTTGTTGAACAAGTCATTCGTTAGATCTATGTTTAGATTATGATCTCCCAGATGGAGAATTTGACTATCCTAATGTCAGCCCTGCCTTGCACTGTTGTTGTTAATCTCCTTCAGATCAAGAGTAGGCAGATATGAATAGTGGGTTCATAACATTTGACCTCATCTGTTTATTCTAAGTTATTTTGTACATTTGGCAGCAGCAAAACCACACTGAGTCTTTAGCTTTATCTCTGTTTCCTGCAAGGGAAGAGCCTTTATACAACTGGATACAGTTGTGTGTGTGTGTGTGTGTGTGTGTGTGTGTGTGTAATGGAATATTATATATATGATGGAATATTATTCAGTCATTAAAAAAGAATGAAATTTTGCCATTTACAACATAAATGGACTTAGAGGATATAATTCTGAGTAAAATAAGCCAGTCAGAGAAAGACAAATACCACATGATTTCACTCATATGGAGAATTTAATAAACAACATAAATGAACAAAAGAGAGAGAGAAAAAAAAGACAAATCCCAAACAGACTCTTAACTATAGGGAACAAACAGACTGTTACTAAAGGAGAGGTGGGTGAGGGGAGAGATGGGTGAAATAGGTGAATGTAGAAGGTTAAAAGTACACTTGCCTAGATGAGTATGGATCTGATGGATAGAAGTGTCAAATCACTGTACTGTACACCTGAAACTAATATTACACTGTATGTTAACTATACTGGAATTAAAATCTTTAAAAATTAATAAAAGATTCTTACATTAAAAAAAGGTAATGATTTGGATTTAGGCCTCGTTTGGAAGAATAGTCCAAATTCAGTTTGACATATAATTCTAGAGGTGATTACTTAGGTATTACCAAATAGAAAATAAAAGAGATGGAAATAGTAGATAATTCCAGAGGAAAAATGTAGACTATGAAGAATTAAATAATAATTATTTAGGGTGGTGAGCATTAAATGAGAATCATAGAATGATAGTACATTTTTAATGGATAATAAATGCCAATTTTATTTTAACCATGTCTTGACTTAACATTAACTTGAAGTTAAAAGAGAAAACTTGACAGTGGCTCTCATCTTTTTTTTCTTGATGTACAGAGAAATCCATACAAACACACACACATACAATATTCAGTACTTGACATTTTCTTATGGCAGAACTTATAAACAACTATATGGTTAGGAATATAACTGATCTTTATCTTTTGAGACACTGTTCACTACTCTGATCTGTGTATTTATTCAGGAACACTATGCCTTGACCTTTTCTAATGAATACAATGACTTTTATGAAAAGAAACTGACTAGGAAGTGAAGAGAAAGGTTATAAGCAAATGCTCTCACAGATTTGCTAAACTAGGGAAGTAAAGGAAATAGCTTTTTTCCTGTCATCCTTATCTAATAGAATCATTTTATTTTTGGGATGTTGGGGCAGATATTTCTTTATCATTTTGGAGGGGAAACTTTAAATTGGCTTTATCTCCAAAGACATGAGAGATTCCTGTTGTGCATTTAGTTGTTTACTTATTATGACATCCTATTAGGACACACTCCGTTATTTCAGTATGTCTTGAAGTATTACATACGTTTTTATGTGAGACACTATTGCTTTTCTTTGTAGATTTGCAAGTATGGAAAGGGTATTAATAATGAAGTCATCTCTCTCAAGTAGTTTCTTCTATACTGTATATACTGGGATAGATTTTCTTTTATGCCTATTCAGAGAATTTCTGTTCAGTTTGTTATTAGTAATTACCCCCTAGTCACTTTCTTCCTGTTTTCTAGATAACAGTTCCCTAGTGTATACCTGTATTGTATATTATTCTTCCCTAAGTATACTATCTTATACTTCCTTACATTAAATCTCATCTTAGACCTGTCCATCTAAATCTCCAAGTTCTCTGTATCCATATATGTACTTGATTGATCTCTTCTTTATTTTTTTAACTGTCCTAGCTTTATATCATTGCAAACTTGATCATATTTGAATTTACATCTCCATCATTAATGAGCATGCTGTGTAGACTAGTTCTCTTTCCTATGAGACTCTGCTGGATGTAGTGCTGGGTGTTCTCAGTTGTAACTCTGTTGATGATAATTCATTGTTTCCTTCTCATCATGGAATTTTTTTATCCATTGTCCTATACTGTTATTCAGGTAATCCCTCTTCCATCTCTGCTTCCTGGATGCTCCTATTAATCACCTTTTGTGAGATACAAATAAAAAATCATTGTGTCTCCTTTTGTACTTATCCCACTGCTTATTTTTCTTTTAAAGTTACTCAGTCTGAGAAAATATTGTCCTTAAATAGAAATTTCTCAAAAATTTCAACTGAACATCATTGAATCTTTAAAAATATGTTAAGTGAGAAAACATTTGAAAGTACCATCTAAGTCTGCCCAGTCTACAGAAAGTAGTCTCTAGTTATTTGGATTTTAAGTAAAAAGAATGATTATTTTTCCCACAGCTGAGAGTATGACTTAAATCTATGTATGTAGTTTTTCTGAATGTGGATTGCATTTTCATAAATTATTCTGCTTCAAGATGGTTTTCTAGATGATACACAGTTCTTTAATAATTTTCAGAGCAAGATGCATAGCCACACTTTATTTATTTTTAAAGCTATATTTTTTCTTTTATTTTCAGGAAAAAGAAGAAGTAGAGGGGATATCAGTAGGTGCTATACTTTCTGACTATCAGCGTGTTCGAGTAGAAAATGTGTAAGAGAACATTTATTTTTTCTATATTTTATTTTATTTTTAAAAACTTGTCCTATATTTTAAAATTACATGTATTTTAAGAATGGGAATAAATTAAAAATATAATTGTATCCAAATAATAAGTAAAATGTATATTCTACATGCTTCATGGACATAGTAACTACCTATGTTATCTAAATAACAAAAGTTGCACTTTTACTTTTTTTCTATCCTAATATCACACATGGAGAAAACTCCAACTTCCTCACCATAAGGAAAAATAAATTACTTATAATAAAAAATCAAGGCGAAGATTTTTTAAAGTCAAAAGTATTGTTTCAGTTTCCTTATTTGAATCAGTATGCCTTTTTAATCCCTTTTAACTCATCAATCATTGTTAATAAAAATCAGCTAGTAAAATGAATGCAGTGATACCTTTTTTAAAAATGTATTTATTTATTTTAGAGAAAGAGAAAAGGGGAGGGGGTAGGGAGAGAGAAAGCCAAGAGGGCTCCTCACTGAGCATGGAGCCTGATGCAGGGCTCAATCTGAGGGCTCTGAGATCAGACCTGAGCTGAAACCAAGAGTCAGGTGCTTAACCTATTACATCATCCAGACACACCAGGAATGCAGTGGTATTTTAAAGAGGAAAATTAAAAAAGCTTATTAAGGAATCTTTCCTTCTTTGGTCTTTAGAATTCAACTCTTGGCCAAAAATATTCATGTGATTAAAATACTTATATAACAAAGCATTCAGCTTTCAAGGACTTTTTAGATTATTGCTCTCTTCATCTTTCTCACCCTTCAAAGGATGTAGCAATGGTAAAACATTGTATCTCCAGATACCAAAATAATCAATTCTACTCATCTATTCAAAAACCATAAAGTATAATGATAATATTGGTTATTTAATGTTGGCTTGTAAAACATCATCTGAATTTATTTTTCATTTTTAGTTTATTTGGGTAAATAAAATACTGAATAGAAACTGTATATATGATTATATTAGCAAAAAGGAAAATAGGGACTCCAGTATTAATCTTCAGTACAGCTTGACCTAGAAATAAGTAATTTTGCCATTCAAAATGATAAATGGAATTCAGATAAAGTTTGTATTTGTGTAATAGTTTTATATTCTTGACAAAGACACATTCATATTGACTATCACATAAAAAACTTATGTATTAAAAAAATATATATTAATTGGCTTGAAAACTTTTTTTTAAATTGCATTTATTTTATCTCTTAATTTTGCAGTGAATTTAAGGCAGTCAAAAATCCAGAATTTTTAGGGGCATCTGGCTGTCTGAATCGGAGGAGCATATTTCTCTTGATCTCTCAGGGTTATGAGTTTGTGACACTTGTTGGGTGTAGAGATTACTAAAAAATAAATAAATAAAAGTAAAACTTTTTTAAAAATCCAATTTTTAAAAAATAAAAGAAAGAAATATAGGACAATGTATAATTAAATGAAGAAGAATATGATGCTCTCAAATTTGGGGGGTATCAGTATCTCTGGAAAAGGGAAAGTGGAGGTGGAAGTTGGGGGAGGTCATATGTGTAGTTTGAAAAAGATTTCCTTACATTCTGCTCGCCTACATTTGAGAACGACTGATCTACAGATGGAGATGGATTGCATATCCCTTAAACCATATGTTAGAAATACTATTTTCATCAAGTTTTAGGTCGTATTCTCTGAGAATTATTTAGTTTACAAATCTGTGTTTTTTAATAAGTTCAAGCCCACATGGTTTAATGGGTAGCCAAACTATAGATGGGGCTGACATTTATTTATGGAAGTTAAAAGCCAAATGAAAATGTGCTCCTGATTAGGAAGCTGCCTTATATCTATACGGGAGCAGGGTCCAGAACATACCCATAGACAGAGGCAGGATTTTTCTTAAGACAGTCTCAGGTGCACTTTAACACATGGTTAAAGTACTCAGATTTTATAGAATAAACCATATCTCCACTAATTTTATCCTTGAAATTTTTAAAAAATTGTTACTGGGAGTCCCTTGGTTTATAGTCTCAGTTTTGAATTAGCCTGTCTTCAGTTTGTAGTTTGTATTGCATCAGTGTATTTTCAAGATATAAAATATTTAATAAATATCACAAGCTCAAATGCAATAGTGACTTACAGAGGAAGTGTATTTGAGCCATGATACTTTGAACTGTTAAAGAATTTAAATAAGCAAAAAAGCTTGACTTAAGTCTGGAAATAGTCAAAAGATTATGGCTATCAAAGCAAAAACCAAGAATTTTACAATAAAGATAGTAAGAGAATAAGGTTTTTTCAGTTTAAAAAATCTTAGCTAAAAGAGGTAGAGAGATTGTTTTGATTGGTAGATGTTAAGTGCTGGTGGGAGGACAGCTAAAATTATAATGCCTTTGTTACATGGGGACTTTCAGTTTTATTATTTTTGTATTTATTAACTGCCTCAACATTGATTTAGATACTCTGGGACATTTTACAAAGGGTAAGCATGTAAAGCAGTCTGTAGTAGGAAGGTTTTGGTGTCTTTGAAAGTCAGGGTATATATACCTGGAAAAAGAAAAGTAATATTTTTTTTAAAGATTTTATTTATTTATTTGACAGACAGAGATCACAAGTAGGCAGGGAGGCAGGCAGGGGCGGGGGCGGGGGAAGCAGGCTCCCCGCTGAGCAGAGAGCCCATGCGGATGCAGGGCTGGATCCCAGGATCCTGACCGGAGCCAAATGCAGAAGCTTTAACCCACTGAGCCACCCAGGTGCCCCGAGGAGTAATATTTTTAAGGCCATGGTATGAGTAAATGACCAAATATGTGGTGTGTTTATTACGTATTGGGGTTTGCTGAGAGAAAGATTATTGTGGGCTTGAATAGTCAGCAGGGCAAACTTATAGATGCTGAGTTTTAGAGCTATGTTTTTTATTTGAAATCTGATCTCAGCCACTTACTCTGACCTGGGCAAGTCACTTGGCTTTAACTGCCATTTATTGAAAATCTATTTTATCCAGGCATTGTGCTGTTTTCTTTATCTTTACTTCTTTTAATCAGTTATAGTCCTCCTTGAGAAAGTGACGTTTAAGCTAAGGCATAAAACAAGTGAAGAAGGTAGGAAACATGGCTAGTATATTAGACAAGAGTAGGGAGGCCAGTGGTGGTGGGTTGGAGTAAAGGGAAAGCAGTAGGAGATGAGCTATGCGCTAACCAGAGTGAGATCCATGTAGGTCTCTTGCAAGGACTTTTATAAGGAGTGATGGGGAGGGTTTGAGATGAGGAATCCCGTGATTCATTTTATGTCTTAAAAGGATTATACTGGCTGCTCCATTGAAAACTGATTTTGAACAAGCAAAGATAGAAGCAGGGAAAGAAGTTAGAGGGATACTGACATCAAAGATAATGGTGGCTCAGACCTGGGTGTTAGCAGTGGTATTGGTGAGGAATGATCATGTTGTGTGTTATGGTAGATTGGGTGAGAAATGTGAAAGAAAAAAAAAAAGAGAAGTAAAGGATGGCTTCACTTTCTAATTTCTTAATCTTCTCAAGAACTTTGAAAGGAGATATTTTTGTTCCTATTTATGAACTAGGAAACTAAAGACATAGAGTTTAGTTAACCTGTCAAAGTCATGTAGCTAGTGAGTGCCAGAGGAGATTTCAAATGCAGATTTGTCTTGACTCCAAAACCATATATATTCTATTGCACCATAATGTAAAATATGTAATACAATGCTCAATATATTGTACTTTTTGTCCTTATTATTATTTTTCATTCAAAGTCAAATTCTTTTTAAAAAATGTCAAAGTTAGTAGAGAAGGGGTGCCTGGGTGGCTCAGTGGGTTAAAGCCTCTGCCTTCGGCTGAGGTCATGATCCCGGAGTCCTGGGATCAAGCCCCGCATAGGGCTCTCTGCTCAGCAGGGAGCCAGCTTCCCTTCCTCTCTCTCTGCCTGCCTCTGCCATTTGTGATCTCTGTCTGTCAAATAAATAAATACAATCTTAAAAAAAAAAAAAGTGGAGAAGAATAGTTCATGTAACCATAGGTATTGTAAATTTAATCAACATATGATTGTTTTATTAGGTTAAGTTGATTTGCCTGTTTTACATATGCTTCACAATTTTGATACCTAAGGAAGTTCTAAGAACAAGAATAATCATCCATCGGCATTTGGAAGCTTTTTAGCATAGATTTCTAAACTTAGAGTCTTACTAAAATTAATATTTCTAATCTGCCTGGAGATTTCATTTTATCTGTTTATGCATAGCCTATGGAAATTAAATATATTTATGTTGTATATATAAACTTCATTATGCAAAACATGTTTTTTAAAGCATTTTAAAATGCTAAAATCCTTGAGAGAAGCATTATGTTTAAAATCAAAGTAATTGCTCTGGATCCAAGTATAGAACATCAAGATATCATCTGATTTTTTTCTTTTTATTTTATAGGTGTAAAAGGCTTAATCTCCAGCCTTTAGCTTACCTTTGGCAGAGAAACCAGGAAGATTTGCTCCGAGAGATGATATCGTCTAATATTCAAGCAATCATCATTAAAGTAGCAGCTTTGGGTATGTAGCCAGACTTTAAAGGGAGTTATCTGTTACCACACAGATAATCTGTGTTCACTAATAAACAGTTACAACAGAAAAGGGAGAGTAATTTAGAATGTAAAAATGTGGAGTCACAACTGAACAAATTGACTAGGGGGAAGTTTAAAATGGGCTTTTGACCATTTACCAAAGTGATTACAAGTGAGCCTCATCATTTTCTTTTTTAAATGTATAACTGCCTCTAAAATTGTTATTGTATTTTGGTCCTTCGATTAAAGTTCTTTTTATAGGATTCAGAACACAGGTTCATAGGAAATGGGATAAGAAGGTTGGTTTCTTTCTTTTTTCTTTTTTTTTGAAATTTTTTAAAATCTGTATTTGGCACAACATATCATATTTTTCATATTTTCTTAAACATTTTGAATATGCTAAAATAGAGTGATTGGCTTTGTGGTGTCAGAAATAAGCGGAGTAGTGGGTTTTTGTAGGGGATGGTAAAAAAATTATATTTGCGAGAATGTCATTTGATCAGTTAGCATGGATACAACAGGCAGGTGGTAATGTGATTCAAATATGGATATTATATACGAACACACTTAATTTGTTGTTTTGAATTTTTATAATTATGTTCACTTTCAAGAAACCGTAGGGTTTGAGCTCAATACATTTATTTCACGAACCTATTACAGTAAATGCCCTGGAGCCTCAGGTTTCTCAAAGCCTAAATCATGTACCTCATTTGCAAGTTTACATTGCTGATCTCTGAAATAGCAAGGTCTCAAGCTGTGGAAGATTTTAAAGACAAATTCACATTTTAAACAACATTAAAAGAAAGATCCCATAATATTTCTCCTTGGTGAACATGAAGCTACTCTGTCCTTGTTGAAGGTGAAATGTTGTCTGTAGTGGAAAGTGTTATATAGAGAACCTGAAGTGAATCTCCTCAGCTGTTAACAAGAGAAAGATCGAGGTGGGGTATTCTCATTTTTGAGAAAAGGTTGCTCAGCAACCCCTATGATTGAAGTTCTCACTATAGATATATTTGTCCTCTGAGTTTCTGTATAAATCTATACAGAGTATGTTTTCTTGCTTTCTCTTTGTCTGTTGCTCTCTCTTTTGGATTGCCTAACACTGCCTACTTTGTAATAAAGTTCATGTGACACCTCACTGGACAGTACACGTTCTGTCACTTTTACTAGAATGGAGTGGAGAATGGAATGGATTAGAACCCAGAGAACCTACCTCATTAGAAAGAAAGAGCCATATGATATAACCTCTGTGACACCTTTATTATAGGGTAACTGATACTGTGTGGTTTTTTTTTTCATTTGTCTATATGCATGTGTGTGTGTCTTTATGGAGGAGTTAGAGATGGTGTTTAACTGTACTAAACTTTTAGATAAAGTATAAAACTGAGCTAATTTGTCTTCAACATTCGAATGACAAAAGTATAGATCTGATTTTAACATTTATAGTACATAGTTTCTATTGATTACCTAAAGGTGTGAAATGGTAAGTTATTCTTGAGAACACTGTTAAGGAATGGTTTATTATTGAGTGGGACATTATTTCTAAGAATATAAAAACATAAATGATGTGAAATAGGTTTCCAAGCTTTCTTCCCTGCCTATTTAAAATTTTCAGAAAGGATTTTAATCAAAAAGTGGGACAATAGGACCTTTCTGTAGGGAGAGGGATTCAGCAAAATTTTGTGGCCCATTAGATTATAGGAGTGGTTCTTAGAAAAGCATCAGTTCTACATGGCTGAATAAAAATGTATTTCTCATAATTGTGTGACATAACCTTGGTCTCTTGTAGCCATCAGTGAACTCATGAAATCTGCACATTAACAACTTAGTGTTTTAAGAAGTTTCTGGGTTTTAGAATTATTTAAAGAACCTTGTATACATTGTATTTAAGAACAATACTGACTTTTAGAAATACTTTTTTTTAATTGTATATTACATGAAAATTATATGAGTAATTACATGAAAACTACATGAATATTCTTGCCAGATAATGTTAAAATTTTCTAGATAAAGTTTCCATGTGTTTCTGTTCTCTCCTTTCTCTCCAGCTACTCCCTTTCCCAGAGATATGTACCAGAAGTAATAACTGATCATCTTTCTAGATCGCATTTTTATTTTCTATATGTATTGTATATGAGTAGAAATGCTATGATTGTTTTATGGGATTTTTTTTTATAAACATTACATAAATGGTATCATACTCTGTATTGGTTGACAGCTTGACTTTTTTACTCAACAGTATGTCTTAGGGATTTTTGTCCATGTCATTAAATGTAGATTTACCTTAATTGAGTCCTCAAACAGTTAGTGCCTTGGTAGTCTTGAGTCTTAGTCCAAAGGCTGCTATGAACCTGATCTAATAAATAACTCAAAATCCTAAGCTATTTTTTTCTGGTTTTTTTTTTTTTAAATTCCAGAATAGATAGCATACAATGGTAGTTTCAGGTGTACAATATAGTCAGTCAACTATTCTATACTTAGTACTCATCAAGATAAGCGTACTTTTTTTATGTTCATATATGTACATATAGCACATTATTAGTTTTTGATGCTGTGTTCAATGATTGAGTGGACTTTTAATCCCCTTCATAGGATATTTGTCCTATCCCCTACCCCCACCCATCTCCTCTCTGATAACCATCAGTTTGTCCTCTATAGTTAGGAGTCTTTTTTTTTTTCCTTTGTTCATTTGTTTTGTTTCTTAAATTCCACATATGGGTGAAAAATCATAAGGTACTTGTCTTTCTCTGACTGATGTATTTTGCTTACAATTATACCCTCTAAGCCCATCCATGTTGTTGCAACTTTCTTTCTTCTGGCTGAGTAATATTCCACTGTGTGTATAACACACACACACACACACACACACACACACACACACACACTTCATCTACAGATGGACACTAGGTCTCCTTCCATGATTTCGTTATTGTAAACAATGCTGCAATAAGCAAGGGGTACATATATCTTTTCGAATGAGTGTTTTCATATTCTTTGGGTAAATACCCAGTAGTGCAATTACTGGATCATATGGTAATTGTACAAAATCCTAAACTACTTAAAGGAATACTATAACATCTAATACATAGGAATATAAAATTCCCAATGCCTTGCATTTAAATTGCCAGGCATGCAAAGAAGCAAAAACATTTGGTTGATACTGAGAAAAACAATCAGAATAGACCAGATTTGGAATTAGCTTGCAAGAAAGTTAAAACATCTCTTATATATGCTTAGTATGCTCAAAAAAAGTCAAATTATGATTATGACAAGGAAAATGCAAAATAATAAAAGACCTAAATATAACTTCAAAAATGCATTATCTGAAATGAACAATGCATGGCAATTAGACATTGCAGAAGAGATGAGTAAACCTGAAGACAAATAAAACTGTCAAAAATGAAGCATAGAGGGAAAAAGAAGGGCCTAAAAATAATTAAGACAACATTAGACTGTATCAGGCAGCCTAACAAGTGGTAGAGCCCCAGGAGAGGGAATGAGGAGAATATTTGAAGAAATAATGACCAAAAGATTCTCCCAGTTTGATGAAAACTGTAAATTTACAGATCCAAAATTTCAGTCAACCCCAAACAGAAGAAACGTGAAGAAAATCACAAAGCACATCATAATTGAATTGCTGAAAACCAGTGGTAAAGAAAGAATCCTAAGGCAGCCAGTGTGGAAGATTAATTTTAGGGGCACCTGGTTGGCTCAGTGGGTTAAAGCCTCTGCCCTCGGCTCGGGTCATGATCCCAGAGTCCTGGGATCGAGCCCCGAATCGGGCTCTCTGCTCAGCAGGGAGCCTGCTCCCCCCGCTTCTCTCTGCCTGCTTGTGATCTCTGTCAAATAAATAAATAAAATCTTTAAAAAAAAAAGATTAATTTTATGCAGAAAGCAAAGATAAAAATGTCAGCAGACTTTGCTTCAGAAACTATGCAAACTGGAAGATGAGAAGACATCTTTAAGTGATGGAAAATCAATAAAAATTACCAAGAATTTTATGCTCAGTAAAAATAAATTTCAAAAATGAAGATCAGATGAAGACACTTTCAGATGTACAAAAGTTGAGAGAATTCATCACCCACGGATCTGCACTATGTACCAAAGGAAAGTAGTATCAGTGCACTAAACACAATATTAATACCGTAAGTTTGACAGTGCATGTTCTTAAAGACTCTTACGGTTGTGTCATAGCTTCATCCATGTAGACAAATTTAGGTCTGTCTGTAAACGGACGGGCATGTGGTCTGTGATTATCTGTTGAATTCTATAGTGTCAGCCTGGGAGTGAGTCCAAGGAGATATGTTAACAAGGCTGCTGTTTTTACTGGCCCTATGGATTTATAATGCATCTACTGAACCAGAAAGACCAATTACAGGGGAAAGGATATGGGTCAAACAGATAATAAATGGAAATGGAGGGAATCATAGGAAATAGAAAGGTGCCTATAAGTGAATTACAATTCCATGGAGGGGTGAAATCATGTGTCCTCTTTGCCAGGACCTTTGAGCTAGAGAATTTTAGATATCCCTCTCAGATCTGATGCTGACTATTTAACTGATGTCAAGAGAAACTCGGACCTATTTTTGCAGAGAAGGGAAGTTGCCGATGTACAAGCTCTATCTAAAGATTCCACCTGGATAATTTGAAGCAACTAAATGACAGAGTGCCACTTGATGACTCAATGCAGGGGTAGTTTATTACAGTTACCACTCAGTTACTGGTTTAAGGGTAATAGTTACCATTCTGGTCATGTTTCTGCTGACTTGATAATTACTGATGAATTATATAGTGGGAGATTCTGAACAGTGGAGCTTTTGCTCTTTTTGGGGGAATAAATCAAAACAGTATGTTGCTAAGACATCTACCTAGGTTTAATGGAAAACAGATTTCTACTGCCTGCCATAGCTTGGTCTAGTCCTTTGAATACAAAATACATCAGTGAAAGTAGAATTTATTTAAGGAAACACCACCCTTGAAGGAGATAAA